GTTCTTTCTGATAGTGAAGAAACCGACATACTTAAAGATTTAGGATGTTATTCATGCAAGTTAGTTTTCTGCAATACAAATTATAAACAGTCTCCTGGCATCTTAAAGACCAACAAAGTTATTACATAAACTTTCATCGGTCACTATCTACCTGATGGAATGGACTGTCTTCCACAAAAGAGCAACTGCAAAATGTATGGGGCACGTGTGGAAGAGCCCATAATGGCTTACCAGCTGCATTTGAGGACATCAATTGCAACTGATGCCTTTTTAGAAAGCATACAGCTGTTTAAAACTAGTGGCATTATTGCAAGACCCTCCATGATTTTGTCTAATCTTTGGTTTAAAATTATCTAAATTAATGGCCATCACTGCATCTGCTGTTAGCAAATTGCAGAGTTTAATTCTGTCTTTCGTAAGAAGTATGGTATCACTATAGACTGATATGCAGGCACAGAACAGAGGCATCTTCATTTCCAAGAATGCTTCTGTTCTTCATATGACCCTTCAACTGTATCAATGGTTACCATGTACTCAAATATCTTTTTTTTTTAACCATGAGTGCACAATCAGTGTAATTCTTGTCTTGCAAATAGAAGGTTGCCAGTTCAAAGTCTGGCAAAAATGTTTTGTTTTTTTAAATTATGTTTTCCTTTCCTTGAACTTTTCTTTCTTTCTTTCTAAAAAAAACAGGGAAAATAGGCAGCTAAGGGAAATAAAAATAATAGTAATTAAAAAGCACTTCTGTTGGCTTTCAAACCAGCAAACTTTTATTTACAATGGCAAGAGTTGCAGCGATTGTACTGTTACAGCAGTTGTAACAATCATGGACTTAAAAGATATTGGAAAGAAACACAGCAGTAAGAAATAATTTTTTTAAGCTGCTTATTGTGTTGCTATGTATGTTCATTCTGATATTAATTCAATCTAACTTTACAGTATATTTGTATATACCTTATGTGTATGTGTGCTATATAAATATACACACACACACCCCATATCTACCAAGGTATATAGACTTAATCCCTTGCAAGCTGTTGCCAAAGTATCTTAGTCTTGACAGAATTTTAACCCAGTTTAGAGTCACATCAGCATGAGCACAGAACAGGGGTACTTAAAATGGGAAGTGCTAACAAAGTGGCATTTGGGGGTGGGGATGTTAAAAAGAGGCAAGATGGTGGTTGCAACCATGCAATCGAGGCCCCCTCCCCCTGCCTTTGTATATGCACGTGATATCAACACGAGAGGATGGGACTTCGATTGCATGGCCTCAATTGCCCTCCTCTCCAGGACACTGTTCTGCAGAGATGCCCTCATCTGTTTACAGAAAGTTAGCATAATGGAGTAAATTTTTCTAAAGAAGAATTCTGCACTGAAATGGATTTCATTCATTTTTATTTTTTTTTCTTACAGCCTTAGTTTAGAGGCCAGATATAATCAGTACATTTATTCAAATTAATAAATCTCTCTCACACACACACACGCTGGACCTTGCCTCATTCAGTACTGAATTCGACTACATTCTGAAACTTTTCGTTTTAAATCCACTTGCATTCCAGTTCTGTCAAGGATCTTGATCGGACCGCGGTTCCTATCCCCCTCAACCTGCTGGCTCGATATGACAGAAATTGTAGTCGAGCAAAGTTGGAGGGTATTCATTTGCGGAAGGCCATGCACCTGGAAAACCTCGTACTTTCTCTTTCATGTGTTGTTCACACTTTGCTTAAAAAGCAATTCTAACTGCAGTTTCGCTTCCTCAAAAAAATCCACTCGCCTTCCAGAGGAAACCCAGCTGGCGAATGAAAGTGTATAGCTTCCTGGAAAGCCTGGGGATTTAGCGGGATCGCCCTCACTTGGGAAGGGCCGGTCCAATGGAAACGAAACTTAAACTTTCGTGAGGGTCACATGATTTACAAGAACGGAACCCCATCCAGTTATCTCCTCGCGGCCGCGAACTATGGGTCTTGGCGGCGATTGTGACCAGCGAAAGGAACGCCCCCACGGGCGTGTCCGTTCGAAAGGTGGTTCTCTCTGATTGGCTGTCAGTGGACGAACATCGGCCAATGAAATTGCCCTCCGATTTGTAATATAAGTTCATGCAGGGGGCGGCACCCTGTGATTATTTCTTCATTTTCAGGTGTGGCGTCAGAGGAGCTCTCTGGTAGTGAAAAAAAAGGTAATAATTTGTCCTTTTTTAGGGAATGGCTTCAATTCATTGAAGGAACCCCGGAAAGGGGTGGGTTGGCTGAGCCGGACAGCATCAAATTATCAAATTATTAAAAATAAAAAAGGCTTCTTGAAAATAGATGTATTTGCAAACGTGAGCCGGGGGGTACAACATGGGAGCAATATCTTTGCACACCTGACCCACCCCTCCCCCGCGTCCTCCGGGGTCGCAGATGTAGAGATTTGGCATGTCCTGCGGCCAGGAAGCACTAAGTGGGATTTGCGTGTCTCTGGCTCCCCAGCAGTGCTTATGTAGCAGATTCGTACAGGGCTTGCCCCGTGGTTGCAGTTCGCCAACACCTGAGAAGAGATGAGATGCAAGTAGGGATAGTAAAGGAACCATGGGGCGGGGGAGAATCCTGCAATGTGCAGTATTACTTTATATAGTTCCGCAGATCTCATGCAAGAAAACTCCTTGCTTGCTGGTAAGGAGACCTGTTAAGCTGTTCTCTAAGGAAGGTGCATACGAATGGGGCATTAAGTGAGTTTGCAATCAATAAATCTCTGCTCTGGGATAGAATTAGGATTCTGGAGCCTTCTTCACTGCTAAGTTAAAAATTATTTTCACCAGCATTTGAACTGATGGAAAACTATACTAGGTAAAATGTGCTGTTCCCATTGCTGATCTCTGATCTCCCTCTATAGCTCTGGATGTTGAGGGAGGGGGATGATGAAATGTGTGATGACATCATGCAAATGATGTAACTTATGTGCTTAATTCAGATGTCTGGGTCTAAGTATATAAGGGGGGCAGTGATATGATGATGATTTTTATCCTGCCTTTTTAATATATAACTCAAGGTGATGAATATACCTAATACTCCCATCTGCTATTTTCCCCATAACAACAACCCTGTGAGGTCAGTTGGGCTGAGAGAGTGTGACTGGCCCAAAGTCACCCAGCCAGCTTTCATGCCTAAGAGAGGCCTAGAACTCAGTCTCCTGAAGCATCAAGCATATTTTGGCACTATTATAATATGCTGCAGATGGTGTCTGCAATCACTGTTCTGGGTGGCTGCGACAAGTGTAGCACAGATCAACAAAAAAGATTGGTGGATTCCTCAATTTTATTTTCTTCCCCTTCCCCTAAACATCACCAGATGGCAGGGTGATCACTCTCCTGAGTATGGGATGCCATAAGAAGGGAGAGGGGAAGGAAGCAAGTTTTGACAGGTAGGTACACCTGTAGCTGCAAAACCTGGTCCCAGCTTTACACAAGTATTTTGTATGGGTGAGTTCAAAGGAGCCCAACTAACTGCTGACCAGGTCTGTGGGGTGCACAATGCAAGGCATTGCCCCCCTCCTCAGTGCTGGTCAGCTGCTATTTGGGCTCCTTTTGAATTCTCAAGTAGCAGGTGGTTGAAACTGGGAGTGGGAGCAGTTCTGATCTGGACTGGAAGGGGTGACAGGTAAAGCAGGATAGTTGGTTCTTCAAAAGGCTTCAGGAGTTTCTTTCAGGTTTTCCATAATGCACAGTTTAGGCTTCTCAAAATGTACCCCTTGCATATCAACATCTGTGATGGTGAAGTTGCCTTAGCTGTCTGCTACAGTTCTTAAGTGCTACACAGGTATCTTAGAGCAAAAGGCCTGCTGTTGTAATCCTCAAGTGCAGAATATAAGGGGCTGAATGTTGATGCACAGATTTGTTCTGGAATAAAATAAGATAGGGGTGAGTGATGGTATAGAAAGAGTGTGAGGGGTTGCAAAACCTTTTTATTAATAGCTCTCGTGGGTCTGTTATGTAGAAAACAAAAATATCTTGTCAGTGTGGGCTTCTATCATGCCAAACAGGAATTTCCATCTATTTGAGGCAGGTTTTGTTCATTCATTCATTACTTTAAACATTTATATTGTGCCCTCCTGCAACTCTTTCCAGATCAGCTTTCAGTCTGAGAAAATACAACATGCAATGCAGTCAAAACCTAAAAATAGCATGAAATTGTCCTAATTAACATTTCACATTTTAAAAGGCAGGGGATTTTTTTTTAAAAAAGGCTTTGCCACATATTAAAATGACACCAAGGTAAGTTTCAAGCAGGTCACCCTGGGAAAGAGTTCAAAAGGAAGTCCATGGCTGAATCCTCATAACCTGCTACCCCCCAAAATTCTGGAAATCTGGAAGAGAACATCCAGCAGCAATGATTCTGGTGATCAGGCAGATTGACACATCTAAAGGCACACATGTTTTGGCTGATGAGCCCTTAAGTACAGCAAGAAATGTCAGCTTTTGAAAAGGTCTTGAGGGATGTGTTCATACAGTCAGGTCCAGAAATATTGGGACATCGACACAATTCTAACATCTTTGGCTCTATACACCACCACAATGGATTTGGAATGAAACAAACACAATGTGCTTTAACTGCAGACTGTCAGCTTTAATTTGAGGGTATGTACATCCAACTCAGGTGAACAGTGTAGGAATTATGCACCTACACAGGTGCCTCCCACTTGTTTGCATATGTGCCTCC